CAGCAGGAAAGTTGGTCCCCTTCCTCAGCTTAAAAGACTGAAATTAAAGCTCTACAATTTTCAATGGCATTTTTATCATTACAGTGCATTATGAGTACTACAGGGAAATAGCATAATGCTTATAGGTTTCTTCATAAAAATGTAAAAGCTTAGTATATATTCAAAGATTAAAAACAGCATCAAATGAACAACTTTCTTAAATGGATATACTATCACCTACACACTAGCTGGGGGTATGGCCCGATGTGTTTTTGTTTAGAATAAAAATTTTATTCTTTTTGGATATGACAACATTTTCAAATAAAATCTTTTGCTTCAAGGGAAGATATCTGCAGAGCTAGAGAGAAGTGTGATACTCTAGGTAAGTTACTTCTAAAATTAGTATATTACTAAGAGAAAATGTAATGAAACTGCATTACAGATGTGAAAAAATTACTTGTAGATACAAAGTTTTTACATTAAAATGTCAGTTTTTGTTTATTTGCTTGTTTGTTTTTTGTTGTAATATCTATCCTGATATAACCCTACTTTGGTATATGTTTGAGAATGTTTGTTTTTTTTATTTGGTGTGAGGAAGGTGTCTGGCTTATGTGCCTATGGCTATCTCTCTTAGGCACCTACATTTGAACATATACTTAAAATTTGTTTATGAAGTCTACATGATAATTTTGCTGTTAGGCTTTTTATACAAAAATTCAATTTTTCAGGTTTAGCAGAACTAGGTACAATGTGTGATCCACTGCGCAGCTGTTCTATAAGTGAAGAAAATGGATTGAGTGCTGCATTTACTATAGCACATGAACTTGGACATGTGTAAGTATATATTTCCAAAGGTAAAAATGTTTTGATTTCTTCTTTTATATAGTTAGCTTCACTGGTGTTCCTTCTGGTGTTGATGAAGTGAAGTTCATAGGCTTATTTGATGTTCCTTCAATCTAGGAGGTTGATGAAGTGAAGTTCATAGGCTCGTCTGTGAAAAGTGTTTTGTAAATTCCATTTGAGGATCAGAACTGAGAGTTTGGAGAGAGAGTGGTTTTCTTGTGAGAAATGTGCCCCCACTGGTAACTGGGTATTCTTGTCTTTAATAGATTTCCAGTGTGCATTCAGTCTGGTGCGCAGTTGTTGTTTGGACTCTCTTACGTATTTTCCATCAGGGCATTTGGTGCACTGGATGAGATATACAATGTTTCTGGAAGTGCAGCTGTAAGATCCAGGAATGGTGATGGTTCTGTTGTGGGGTGTAGTGATTGTGGGGGTACTGGAGATATGTTGGCAGGTTTTGCATTTCTTCTCATGGCATAGTTGGGATCTATTAGGTGTATTTTGGGCTGTAGGAAGTTTGATTCTGGTGACAAGGTTAGCAAGATTTGGTGCTTGTTTGAATTTACAAAACACTTTTCACAGGCGAGCCTATGAACTGTACTTCATCCACCTCCTAGATACAAAATCTCATGGACTCAATATAGACATTGGATTTATGACACACTATAACCTGCCTGACATCTGACTCCCCAGGTATCTCTCCACTTTTACCTGCTTCATCCCCTCTCCCCCCCCCAGCTTGTGTCTCACCCCCTGATGCCTCAATTTACATTTTTACTGACTGGTTTTTTTGCATGCATACCAGCCTCTGGCTTCTTTACTATTCATTCCATCCAGGAAGAGCACACACACTGACTGCAGATGCTTCCTCAGCCTGATGAAGGGTTTTTAAACTCGAAAGTTTGCTAAGATATATTTCTCCAATTATTCAGTTGGTCTAGTAAAAGATATCAGATTGACCCAAAGAACCTTGTCTGCCTATGTCCTCAGACCAACACGGCTACAACCTACACCCCTTAACACACACAGGTGATACGAGTTTTGCTTTTAACAGTTTGAAGTGCACTTTCACCTGCACCTATCTCCCTGAAACCCCTGCACCTATCTCCCTGAAACTTGGCAGGCTTCTTACCCTCAGAAGGGGCTACCATCCATGCTGTTTTCATCCAAATCTGCAAAGAAAATGGCAGTTATAGGTATTTTAGTGATTCCCATTATAGTCTTTGGCCGAATTTCTGAATTGGCACCAAATCTCTGAATCCAAATTGGCTGAATCAAATTGGAACAGGGACCTGAATCATCGAATCGAATCACCGTCCCTCCGAATCAGCTGAATCTGAATTGAATACTTACCGCTTTGCACAGGCCTAACATGTAGCACTGTGTCCATTTGTTGCAAATAACACATTAATCGTGGTATAAAAGTAACTGGTAGAGGGGGCTGTAGAGTATATTTTCTATGATTCTATGTTGTGTATGTCGTTGATCTAGAACCGTATGAAGCTTTTGAAGCAAACTTGAGGGTGTAACCATTAAAGTGAATCTCTTATTCTCTTTAGAAATCTTTTGAGTGTTTCTTTCTTTAGTAATGTAGTGATAAAATCTATGAGTAATTGAATCTACATGTATATAATACTTAGCTAAAAAATGCTAAATTGAATAACTCACATGCCATGTAAAAATGAATACCTGTTCTTAAGTATGGGTGAAAGACTTATTTGTCAGAAGAATGTACAATGAAACAGAACCATAAACAAATTTATGCACATTTTTTTGTATCAAAACAAATAAGGTGGTAGAAAGTGTAAGTTTTTTGCTGTGCTTTTTGCAAAGCCAAACATGCATATAGATAAAATTGGAATCCCATTAGAATTTTCAAAGACAGAATTTGGTCATTGTATAAGGAAACCTACTTTTGTAGATGTTAGGGTGAAAAAACCAATTGGGTGAAAAAACCAATTGGGCTCATGTGCTTTTGTGTAGGGCTCAATATGACCCATGTATTTGGTTGCCTTTGGCTTGCGAGCCCTGATACCCAGCTCTGATACCCCAGCCTTTGGGACAAATCAGGGGCCAGGGCTGAACTTACAATTCCAAGACTATAATGAGAACTTTTAATTGCTCTGTTACCAAACGTATTAGCTGTATACGGTCTTTTAAGACTTAGAACCTAAACAATTGTTATGTAGCCAAATGAACATATATGAATTTTTTGCTGAAGTTGTTTGTGCTTGCTTTTAGATTTAATGTGCCCCATGATGATAGTTTTAAATGTAAAGAAGCTGGAATTAAACATCAGTACCATGTAATGGCTCCAACATTAAATTACCACACAAGTCCATGGACCTGGTCAAAATGCAGTCAAAAATATATCACCGAGTTTCTCGAGTAAGTATCAGTTAAGCGTCATGCATTTTTCCAATTTAGTCTCTTCCTTAAACTATTTTAAAACTATTGTTTAAATATATGCACACTATTTTAAAGCCACTTTTTAGCCTCTGATTATTTGTGGTCATTTTATTTTTCATGTTCTGCATTGCCAAGGAATTGTCTTTAGGTTACCAGTTTAATGTTTTACCCTACTTTTCTAAAAATGAATATTTTGTTTTCCCCAATAACTTATATATGGGCTTAACTTTATATGTTGTGGGAGTCTTTACACATGCTCTGGGGTGGAGAGGTGGGTGCTTTAATTAGAGTGGCTCTGAGCCCACTCTTCAAAATGGCGGTGGGAGTGATTTAACTAAAGCTTGTTTGACGAGCTTTAGTTAAAGCACCCCTGACACCATTCTGAAATATAGGGACACTGAATACTCATGACACGGAGGCTGCTGGAATGCACTTATTAGCAAGCTGCAGCAGACTTGCACCAGACTTGATTAATCAAGTCTGCTCTGATGCATGCTAATTGGCATGTGTCGGAACAGAGGTACATCATGTATATAGGTGCCCTGTGGGCACATCTACGTGAGGTGCATTACTGCACAGTAGACTAATGTTTTGCACCGTAAAACATCACTGTCTACATGTGCGGGGCATTTACTATGCAGTACATTAAGCTACTGTGCAGTTAGCTAGCACCTGTAAATACAGTTACTAGATTAACTGTGCAGTAGTGCTCATGTAGATACTGACTGTGAGAAAATTCATGAGTTGGGAGCTGGGAACAGCAGCTCTGTGTGGCACAGATCTGGCTGCTCCAGGGGGCAAGCAGGGGCTGGGAACCCAAGCAAAGCAGCTGCTGGTGAGCCCCGTGTCCCCTCCCCCCCACCTGGCAGGAGTCTTGCCAGCAGCTGCCCCACACCCAGGACAGCTTCTGGTGAACCCCCTGCTGGGTAGGGAAGCCTGGCTTACTAAGGGGCTTGCTAGCAGGTATGTGTCCTAATGGGCATGGGGCTGGGAGAACTTTGCCTGCTGCAGGGGCAGCTGTCTCTCAGCCCCGTGCATATCAGGTCCCCTCTCGACGTGCATGGGGCCAGGAGACAGCTGCTGCAGGCAGCAGAGCTCTCCTCGCCCTGTGGACATTAGGACCAGCCCTGTGCCCCTTGTGAGCCCCCAGGCTAGCACCCAGGGGAACCTGGAGCTCCCCCTGGCTGCTGCAGGGGGGCAGAGCAGGGCAGAAGCATCCCTGTACCAGACTGCTCCCATTGGGAGCAAACCTGCTTCCAACAGAGTGCATGTGTAGATGTGCTCCTGGGGAAGGCTCGCTGCACAGTATTTTACTATGGAGTAAGTATAATGTGAATTAATAGCACATGTAGACACTCCCTGTGAATAGTTCCATGGCTTCATTTGAGCTACTCACACCACAACCTTCATGCAGAAGTCCCTTCAAGGTCATGGCTGTAGAAACATCAGCAATATTTATCACTGTGTATATAGATCAAAATGGATATACCCCTTCATTTAAAAAGACCAATACTAGTTATAATGAGATTTTTTGAGTCATAATCTCTTGATCTTTTCCTTTATTTTGATAACTTTTTTATTTATGATTTTCACAAAAATGATCCTTGCTTATGATTTAATTGGAAGATTAAATTTAAGCAGACTCTCTGATAAGGGATTTTTTTCTTCCTTTCATGTAAATGTCATTTTAATCTGCAGACTTTCATTCAAGTATCTTGGCTATTAAGGACTATAAACAAATAGCACAAATGGACAAGTTTTCTACATTAACTTTATTTTATATCTTAAACTGTATTTGGTTGTACTGAGTAATTATATAATGGTGCTTGTCCTAAAATTTAAATCTATCCCATACAGTTTAGTGTGGAACATTTATAACTTCTTGTTGCACATCAGATATATTGTAGAAAGGTAAAACTGAAGCTAATAATGAATACAAGCCCAAGACTGATTTCAGTATGGGGATTATGTCCCCAAATTACATAATTCATTTTCTACATTTCAGAACATAATCAAATATGGTCTTATTTCCAAAATGGTAAGTTTTTTGTAAAAATCAAGACATTTATTTACCTACACTTTGTTGTTTTGACTATAGCACTGGTTATGGAGAATGCCTTCTTGACAAACCAAGTGGAAGAATATATGATCTTTCATCTCAGCTGCCTGGGTCAATGTATGATGTCAATAAGCAGTGTGAATTTATGTTTGGTCCTGGGTCACAAGTATGCCCCTATCTGGTAAGGCACACTACACAGAAACCCATCTCTAATATTTGTTGAACATTTTTTGAAAACTGTAGTTGGTAATTCCTTCAATATTGAAATGAAAGCTCAGGAACTTTTTATCCTTGAGTAAATAAAGGGTACCTATAGACGCGCTTGTTCATGTTCTAATTAGAACATGTTGGATTAGATTCGATTAGTTGAGTCTGTTCCGCATTCTAATCAGAACACTCCAGTGTTGCCTCACTGTCATGTGCATTAAACCTCTGTGCGTTTCAGCCTGGCCACAAAGGCACTTTATCTAAATGTCATCCAATGAGCTTTAGATCCTGTGACCATTTTGAAATGCTGTGGGGGGTTAATACATGTGACTATGAGCCATTTTAATTACAGTGGCTGTCCAAAAACTGCTCTAATTAAAACAGTCCCCCTCCCCCCCCCGAGCATGTGTATAGGCAGCCAAAAGTGTTAAAAAATGGTGTTTCAGAGAGAAAAATCTCAGTAGAAAGGCTTGCGAGTTCCTAGGGCTATACAACTTTCATGTAGAAGTAATGAATAAATGTAAAAAAGTTGGTCTGGATCTGTGTATTTGTGAACAAGTTTACAATCTCTTTTCAATTGTTGCAGAAAATCTTAATTTACATTATATTCTAATAACAGTATTTTCTCTTCCTGTCTTACAAACATATTAAAACTATATTCATTTTTACATTATCCATAAAATAATCTTGCCACTAGAAAAGTTTCAGTGCAATTATTTTTAAAGTATTCTTAATTGTTACATTGGTTTAAAAAATTGTGATTTTAAAACTAAATCAGTAATTCATATATATTCTCAAATAAATGAGATAAGGATCTTTGCTTTGTAAGCTTCAGGAAGTAGTTCTCATGTCTGTTGGCATTTGGGAATTAAGAATAACCCTCATTAAAAGCATAACCTACAGGTTGACAGTTTCTTAAAAACAGAACTATGAACTGGAAAGAAAGCTACATAGAGACTGATACAGTGAAAACCTAAATGTGGATTGTTGGATGTCAGTATAAACTTAAAATATCACTAAGTCCTACTAATTAAAAGTGGCATACTGCCAAAACTGTATAAAGGGTTTGTTTTTGAGTTTCACCCACAGAAGATGACTTTGCTTGGTGGAACTAATTAGATGAGATAATATAGGACTAGCTTGAGTTCAGGTCTTTTTTGGCAGGGGCTGAGGGGGTTGGAGTAAAGTTTTCTTCAGTACAAGTTAGGGATTCAGAAATTGTCCCAGAGTGAATGTGAAATAATTTAGGAGAAATTATATAAAGGTATAAATACCTGTAGCTAGGGCTCTTCAACAATGATTACCTCATAAACAGCTCTGTGTTGTTTAGTCAGTGAAAAAACATTTTTACTGTGTAGTAGTAATTTGAAAAAGAGACTTTCTACCACTGTTTTTTTAGATGAACACCTGGGGTTATTTTTGGAAAGTCAGTTTAGTTATTGGCTTTACTTGGGGATTAAATTCAGACCTTCTGCTATATAACCTGAACCTGAATTATATTTGTAATGGTTTTTTATTAGCTGCCAAATTAAAATATGAAGTTTACTCATTGTTGCTTATCCAGTGAATTTTCCTCAAAATCTTCTATATTACTTGTCTTTCCTTTATACAGGATTGTTTCTTTTGTTATTCAGAGTATCACTTTTGAAAAATATTGGTAGTGACAGATTTTAGAAGTTTTTTATCTGCAAGGATTTACCAGATGCATATGTCCAGAGAGAGAAATTTTGGATTGCCCAAAATAATGTTGTAGGTATAACAAGGGCACTCCTGTTGTTTTGTTTTGTTTTGTTTCATTTGCAGAAGCAATGCAAACGCTTATGGTGTACAAGTGTTGAAGGAGTTCATAAGGGCTGTCGTACTCAGCATATGCCATTGGCTGATGGAACCAACTGTGGTCCTGGAATGGTAAGGCCTAGCTTTTCCTAGTGCTCAATACTTATCTGTGGCAAAATCACTAAAGTAGATCAGAAAGACTAATGTCTGCTATGTCTCACCTTGCAGTTGCAGAAAACTGGCTATGTAGGTTATACCTTTTTAAACTGAACTGCAAAACTGAACCAAGCGATATAATATCGTAACATGCATGTCATTGGGCTGTGCTTCCTGGACAGCACATTCCAAGGTTTAGGGGTGCAGTGTTGATTACAATGGTGTTAAGTTTAAAAGGAAGCTGCTGTTTTTACTTCTTTCTGTAATCTATCTTAAACTGTGTCCTAGCAGTTAGCTGTCTCCTGGCATCCTTGCTCCAGAACTGAATTTTGTGGAGTGTGGGTTCTACCAAAAGAAAGCTCTAGCACCAGGATATAAATTTGGTGATATTCCCAATTTCTCTTGGTGAAGCTATTCTACTTTACATCTAATAACTAAAGATTCATTGCCTCAGGGAAATGGCAAAAGCATCACGCTGTACTTCAGTGGTGAGTGCATTTGGGACAGGTCTCAGTCCCTGCTCCAATTAATGTTTATGTATTTTATCCAGTATTTGTTTAATATAGAGCATGTCAACATACATTTTTGCCTCTATAAATAAAGAAGTAATAATCTCTTTTTAAAGAGTTATCAATTAGCTTTAAATAATGTAAGCTTAGATTTAGCCTAGTCAGTGCTGTTTTTCTCTTTGTGTATATTTTTAATGTATTTTTAGAACTTGGGATTCTAATAAATATATCATGCTCCTCTTTTGTGTGCAGGTCTGTTTTGTAAAGGCTAGTGTTGGCAACCAACTGTCAGTTATGGGCAACCTTTTTCAGTTGCTTGAAAACACAAGTAGATCTAAAACTAATAGTATAAAAGACTCCAAAGTGAGTGAATAGACTGCTTTTTCTATATTTCTTAATACCTTCTCTGCCTGTCAGTCTATCTGTTATTTTTTATGTCAAGCTCTGTGGAACAGAGGCTTTTTTCATTTTAGTGTTTGTTGTCTACAGTGCCAAGCCTGTAGAGTTACATTGCTGCTGCAGCTACTGCTTCTGTTGCTGCTGCTGCAGCTGCTGCTACTACTACTACACAAATTTAGTAGTTACAGATAGCATTTCCTATAATAGTAGCAGATAAACTGAAGTATGATGTGTTTCAGCTTCTCAATAAACATTAAAGGAAAACATTTATCTTGGGCTGTGATCATCTCCTTTTCAGCTTTAATTGCTTCCTAAAATTTAAAACCTGCTTCACTTTCACCCTGACTGTCTGGATAACTTGTAGTCTCTGCCAGTTCCATCAAAGTGCACTTTGTTCACCCAACAGACTTATACGAAAGTGAATGATTTTAGCTTGTCAGGCTTTCTGCCAGAATCTCTGAAAATCTTCTCTATCTTTCTCAAACTTCTATTTTCTGAAGCTCAGGTCTGGCAGCGGCCCAGATACAGCTTCTCTGCTGTCTCTGTTCTTTTCAGTACATTGGTATTCACATTGTGTTCCTTCACTTCAGGTGGCTTTTTTTTGTTTGTCTTGCGGGCTTCACAAAGATCACTAGGAGGTGGAGATGTCTGCCAGCTCTTCCAATAGCATGCAGACCGGCAGCAAAGCAGAGGAGGATATGGATTTTATAATCCTTGGCTTATTTAATACTTCAGGGAGACTTTACTACAAAAAGACAGTAAATAAACCTAAACTTACATGTTAATATTTATTAGTTTGCAGTAACATTTGCCATGGTGAATGACTCAAATTTACAGCCCTTTGGAATAAATACCACCTTACTTGAAAACTTTTTTGGTGTTCAAGAGAAATTTTTAAATCCAAAAATACATGAATTCTTGTGCTGTCCTGTAGGGTACATATTAAAAAGAATTGCAAAATATATAGAGGTGTCCACAGTCCCACTCTTCTCTGGAGCTTGGGGTCCTGAGTGCAGGGCATCAGGGAGGCATCCCATCCACTTGGGATTCAGAGGCCTGAATTCTGTCCTGAGGGATAGGTGCCTGCAACTGTTCTTTGAAAAACCTGAGTGGAGGTCACTTTTTTCCTTAAAGACCCAGCTGCTGGAGATTAGTGGTAGTGCCAGTGCCTGCTACTTATATAACAGGCTTGATGTCAAGGCCAACTTGCACAGTTTATTGGAGAGAAAATCTGGCATAGGTTTCATTGAGACCATCTCTTGAAGATTGTGTCAAAATTTCACATTAGTCAGACCATAGCTGTTTGAATAGATGTTCCTAATAATGACTAGGAAAGAACTCTGTATGTGGCTAGAGGATTTTCTTTTTAAGTACATGGATCAAATCTTGCATATATTTGTCAAGGTTATTTGTGGCCATGTTATGCCATGTTAAATATTTTGGTAAAGGAGTTTCCATTAAAGCAGAAACTGCCTTCTCAAAGGTAGTACTTCAGTCAATATTCAGTTAAAACTTTAGCATTTCTTCCAGTGGAATCACTACTCGAGAGAGCTTTCATATATGGAATATAGATAAGTACTCAGAGAAGAAAATTCTCTTGATTTTGCTGATGTTCTCAACTTGCCCTTTTTCCTGAAAGTCTATAGACGGTGGGCTTTTGGTTAGCAAAGGAATCAAAGAATAGTTAGCTAAGCTCTGTAGAGCCTGTTGATGTGCACACAGAACCCTATTAATGTAAATGCAATACTTCTTATCTATGAGATACCTCTTATAGAATAGGTGTAGCATGTCACACTGTCACAGCCTACTTTTGTAGGTGGTATAGTTGCCTGTAGTTATCCAGGGTCCTAAATAGCTTGCAAAGTCTGCACTAACACCTGCCCTCCTGTGATAGTGGCATTAGTTTAAAATCTCACCTGTGGTGAAGTGGTGCAAGTATAGATGACTAGGCCAGAAACAAATAGGTAGAAGATAGTGGGGAGATTTCCTCAGCAGAACCATTTTACTTAGAGAAATAGAACTGAGCTGTCAGTACATGAGGGTTTTAGAGGAGATTGATTTAGAGGAAACAGTAACAAATCATGAGAACCTGATGTCATTCACCCTAGAGTCCTGAAGGACTTCAAATCTGAAATTGCTGCTTACTGCATACTGCAGTATGCAACCTATCACTAAAAAGAGGCCTTGAGACTAGAGGATCAGAGGGTTGCCAATATAAACCCAGCCTTTAAAAAGAGCTCCAGAGGGGAGCCAGAGAACTATAAGCCAGTGAGACTAACTTCTCTGCCTAGGAAGTTGGTAGGAACAATAATTAAAAATTGCATTGGTCACCGCATGAATGAACAGAACTTGCTTGGGAGAAATCAGCATGGCTTTTCTAAAGGGAGGTCATGCTGTATGAACCTACAGGTTTCTTTTGCCAACAATGGAGGTTATGTTCCTGAAAGTTTTCATGGTTGGCAAAACCGTGGTTGGCAAAACCAACCAGGAGGCATGGCCAGGGGGACTGTGGGGGTTCTTTTCTGACTGTACCCCTGTCCTTCTCTGAAGCGTGGATACTCAAAACCATGGTTGGCAAAACCTGTATTAGAATTCTTTGAAAGTGTCAAGAAGAACGTGGATTAGGGCGATCAAGCTGACATAGGATATATGGATTTCCAAAAGCCATTGACAAAATGCCACATCAAAAGTCTTAATGAAATATGGTTATCACAGGATTAGAGAGAAGATCTATTTGTAGATCAGAAATTGGCTTAAGGATGGTAAACAAAGAGCAAGTATAAATAGCCAGTTTTCAGAATTGAAAGACGTAAACAGTACTGTCCCTGGACAGTACGGACTGGAGGATCTTACAGGTCCCTTCCAGTCCTTCTATTCTATGATTTTATCTACTTTTTACTGTAGACCAATTTATTGTCCAGTAAAGCAACACCATCTACATGTGCATGACAATTAGGCTAGTGTAGACTAATTTACTGAGCCATAGGATAATTCCACCAAACACGAGTACTATCCAATGGCGGAGTAAATTACTGCACTTATACAAATGTATAGATGGTGATGCCTGGATTTGTTTGCTTCAGCACAAATTGTGTCAGAGTTTATTCAGTTGCATTAAGTGCATAAGTAGATGTGTCCAAGGGGTGCATCTATATATGCAATTAATGCAACATCATAAACTCCAGAGCACTTTGAGCTGGTGTACACTGCTCCCAGGTGCAGCATCTACATGTGTTCCCGGGACTGCAGCACTTTGCGCTGGGGCAGAGCAGGCCCGGGCTGGCAGCAGGCTCAGGGGATCAGTCCTGGGCTCTGGGTGGCAGTATTGAATGGCAGAGGGACTGGCTGGGGCATGACAGTGCCATGTGTGTGTGGAGCCATGTAGCTACGCAGCAGGGAGGGGTCTGGCCCTCTGCTGCCTCGGCTGACCAGGTGCAATTTCCACTTTGGGTTACTGTCTAAATGTGTGTTTTTGCACAGTAAAGTACTCCACCATAAGATAGTATTGTCCCTGACAGTGTCGACTGTGATGCTTTACTGCAGAGTTAATTAATTAACTCTGCAGTAAAGTGCATGTATGGATGCACCCACAGTGAAACAAAATTAAAAATAAAAGCATACATGGAACATCTGGAATGTGTCTGGTGCACCATTTTTCCACTGTGACTTCATTGTTTTGCTTCTGTAGGAATGCAGCAGAACAATAACTGGTACAAATTCATTGAATAAGCTATTAAAATCCCAGATGTGAACATGTGCTTAGCATTTTTATGAAGGGACATAATCCCTGATGTAATATAAGATTTTTGTGTAGAATTTCATCTTTTCCAGAAATATAAAGTTATTATAACTTTAGTTTAGTCTTAGACTGCACTCCTAGATATCCATAACAGTTGGGCAGTAGCCTCATGCTTGAAAGAAATACTTACATTTATGAAATGGAATCTATAATATTTGCTCTTGTGTTTGAAATATTTGATTTCTTCAGATGCTAATGGAAAACTCTGAATGTACATGTTCTTAATATTTTTTCATAATCCTATGTAAATTTCTCACAGTATCATGATATCTCTGTAGCTAGTGGCTGGTCCACTCTTTAGCTGTTGGAATAGATCCAAAAGTGATCCAAGTGTTCATTTTGTACCTCAAAATAGGCATCCCAGACAGATGATACTAGGTTTAATCACAAATCTGTGGAAACACGGCTTATGTACCTTTTGTATAGTGCTTACACAAAATGTTTCACAAAGGTGGTATCACTATACACATTTTACAGCTAGGAAAACAGACAGAGAGGGGAAGGTCACTGAACAGGTGAGTACCATGTTTATGAGTTAAGGACAAGTGCTCTGTCGATTAGGGAACATTGCCTAAATAAATATATTGTGATGTCCTGCTATGCTGGGAAATTGACAGTTTCTATGGGATTTCTTTGGATGGAGATGACACCTGTTTTAGAAGAGCATACCGAACAGTGTTAGAGTTACCAATTTCTATTGTCTGTATTTCTAGTAGTCATGAGAATTTCATTCTTTTTGTTCAGGGAATGGAATGGCAGGAGCAGACCAGCCAGTGGTATTCTAGTATCCTCTGTGATCATTTCATTTATCACAGATTTCATAACAATAGCAAAGTGACCTCTCAAAATCGTGCAGAGGGAAAGGCTATCTAACAGTAATTTGTTTCCAATAGCTTTGAGCAAAAGATATTTGTATTGACGTAATAGTCCAATACATCATATTGTCCCCTAGGCTAAGTACAGACAGTGAAAAAATCTGCGGCTGAATTGATTCAATCCTCTCAGGTTAGTCTCAGTTGTGTAGATTGAACCAATAAGCAGGTGAACAGAAATTCACTTTTGATTCCAGAAATGCAGCCACATGCCTGCAGTGGCTCAGGCCAGAAGCCAAGGGGTGCTAGAGTATGCCTCCCTGCTCAGTTGGAGCAGACAGCTTGGGGCAAGACTAGCTTGCCCACTATGCGGGGTGAGGGGGTTTGTAGAGGAGGTTCAAAGCATCTTGGGATGCTGGGAAACTGAGTTAACTTGAATCTGGAAGAGATCTGAGATAGAAATTCAATTAACCTATTTATCCTAAATCAGTTGTGTCAGATGCTACATCCATCCAGGTTTATCTTAAACCAGTTTTGGCCATCTTGAAAGTGGCTTACGTGCACTGAACTTCTGTTGCGTTACATATTTGAACCGGTTTCCAATCACTTATACCAGTTTATACTTAATTTCTGTTCCTGGCCCTGGGGAGACCCAAAACCCCATTTTGCCTGTCATTTTATAAGATTAATGAAATAGTTTATTTAGTTCTTTTAGGGTTTTTTTGCAGTGAGGGTAAGCTAAATTTTGGCATTAGCCTGAAGGAGCTGATGGTCTAATTGTGTAATTCTCCCAATTTCCTAATATGATGATAAATCCCATTTTGGACTCATTCAAAACCTACTTTGTATAGTGCCATATTCACCCATAAGGGAAATCATGAGAAACTGGTATTCAGAGGTTATCATTAATGTTGGCATCAATGTAATCCAGGATAATAAATTCAAGTAGCTCCAACACGAGATCAGATAAGAGAGAAATCAGGATTCAGCATAAAGAATGAGATTAGAGTAAAAGTTCCTATTTCTAGAGCAAGATGAATCATAGAACTGTTTGTGGCATGTGGCCTTTAAGTGTTGACGCAGGCATGCAATACACAAACTAACAAAAAGGATAATTTTCAAGACCTATATTACAGAGCATATGTGGCCAATAATATACTGATAATATAAACCCGAGTTTGCTGTAACATATTTACATCTGTTGAGAAAGGAATTCAGACACAGCTCTATGCTTAGTATTTCCTGTTGGCTAGTTCCTACTCAGTGTTTTTGTGGAGGTTTTTCAGGAATACCCTAAGTCCGCAAGCCTTAGACACTTGGATTAGGGCTGGATGTTAGGCTTCTCCATCCACTTGGAACCCAGTCTTGAAATCCTTTTCTGAGGTAGGTGACCAACTGAGCAGCTCTTATCCTTTCTAAAACACAACTGCTGATTTTTGTGTGCTGGTCTAGTGATCAGATCTGTCATACAGGAAATAGGAGACCTGAGTTGTATACTTTCACCTCTAGTTTCCCAAGAGAGCACCTTAGGCATCAGTCTGTAAAATAATATAGATGAAGCCCTCTTTAACTTATCCTGTTGAAGAAGCTGGGCCACTCTGGAGCCAAGATTGCAAGAAGAATGAGTAGGGTAACCACATTTATCTGATTTCAAAATGGGACACTCCACTTTCTGGCACACACAGCTGTCTCTGAGTTCTGCTCTCAGCTGAGCACACTGGAGAATGGGGTGACTACAGAGCACCAGGACAGTTCCATTTTAAACATTAGTCCCAGGCATCCCACTTAAAATGGGACAAACAAGTTCATTTGAACAAACTAGGCTTTGAGGCTGTTTTACCAGGGGTTTTCTGGATTGCTTTTTGGATTTAAATTCTACCTAAATCTTATTTCATGTAGCTAAAGTGTCACTCTGTATTTTGTCCACTATCTCTTATTGTTTTGGAAAGTACCTACTTGTCTGGAAAGCAGTATGCACAATTATGGTTTTGTGTAAGCGATCCTAGCTTCATTGCAGATATGAGGTGATGGTGCCTAATAGCTGCAGTGGCCTTAACAGAGCATATGGTTATAATGCTATCTCTGCTATCTCTTGATTTAAATCCAAGGAAGTAAAATGAGTAGCATGCTAGCTCCTCCCATCCTGACTTACCTCATATCGGGCAGCCATTTTGAACCTATTTAACCTCCCTCTAATGCCTGTACCTAGTCTTTAGGTTTGCATCCCCACCTGAATTTCTGGAAAAAAAAATGTAAGAGAGAACTCAGACTAAAATCTGCTGCAAATCTTATTTACAAATGTGTATATAAAAAATATGAACAAGAACTTAAGATCAAGATTTCAAGAGTTTGGCTTCCATTCAGGCACCTGAATTACATGGCAGGATTTTCAAAATTGCCCATTAGTTTCTATTGTACTGAATGAACATTAGCGGTGCTGAGCCCTTTGATAGTTTGGCCACTTCATTTAGATCTTAAAAAAACTTTGGGAAGAATTTGGGGTGCTGGGCCTAGCTTCCTTTTTTCTGTCTGTTTTATAGGTTTTCTTTTTTTTCTGTGACATAGGACCCTGCAGTATTAAATTTTGTGTTTGATGTCCACTAACCATGTTTCAAGTTACCTTTTATTTCATTTTTTATGTTACCTCCATTTTGATTTGCAGATTCTAAGCGCACAGAGTTAATTCTTGAATTCTGTTACATTTGTCAACTCAACAGCACTGTCGCCATGGGATCTGTGTAAACAAAGAAATGGAAATACGTCCTGTAGATGGAGAATGGGGACCATGGGGACCTTATAGTTCATGTTCAAGAACCTGTGGAGGTGGAATCAAAAGCACAACTAGATTGTGTAATCAACCAGAGTATGTTCTTATTGTTGCTTTTTATTTATTAATGTGTAGCGATTATTATTGTATTTCACAAAGTTAGCTCAAGGCACCAGAAAAATAAATAGCTGTTTTAGTCACTTATAAAATCAGAGTTCATTCTGCCATCTCTGAAATCTTTCAGAAAATACATGAGTTAATTTCACAGTTCTTGTCAGATAGATCCATTTATATTTACAAATATTTTAAAATTGCTTATAGAGAAGGCCTTTTCTTTTAACTTTCCACAATTCAGAATAAATTATTTTATTCAAGTAGCAGCTACAAAATGATGATCATTTTATTTATTATCCTTTTAACAAAATATTTGATTTTTTTCTATCTATAGTTTTTCACATGATTACCAGCAAGAATATTTTGGAGAATAGTGGTAGATATCCAAGCCACCACCTATTAAAATGCAGTCATTAGTAAAATTTTATTCACAGAATAATGCCATGTGGTATCAACCTGGAAGATCTCCTTTGAGAGAAACTGTCTTGCAAGAGTGAATGCTTGTACAATCCTCTCCTGGTCTGATCTGGGAGGGTAGAGGAGTAGTAGAATCTGCTCCCTGCTTCTTCCCCAAGCCAGGAAGTCCCCCGGTTGGGTAAGAAGCCTGGGGTTTTGCCCTGCTGTTCTATCCGCTCTGCTTTTGAGGGTTGCAAGCACCAGCTTTGATTATGCTGTTTCGTGGGGAGGGGAAGACTTCCACATGCCATATTCAGACTGTAGGTGCATAGCCCTCAAAGTGCTGTGTGGGGGAATGCTGCCCTTCTCATACTACATTCTAGGCTGTCACCCACAGCTCCACTGGTTTTGCTTGCTGTGGAGGATCAGCTATTCGCTGTTGGCCCTCCAGACTGGGGTCCCTGCTCTGGGAATTGGGTGGGGGGCTTTGTCCCTCTATTCCAGTCCCCCAGGAACAGGAGGAGCAGAGCAAGGGAGAGGGGCCAGTTATTCCCTCTTCCAAAACAATTTCTAGTAATGAAAATTTCTCAAAAATGTCCATGGCTAGAAATAAATGCCTGTTCAAGGCCACCACTGAGATCAGTAGGAATTTTGGAATGGACTTTTATGGGGCTTACATTTATTCAGCTGAACACATCAGATTTATAAGTGGACAAGAATCAAACCAATTTCACAATTATAGTTGGTTCTCTGACAGATAAGAGGCATTTGCCCAAATTTTAATCTCAGATGCATTGTATCCGTATATTTTGGATGGCTGTCAGAATTATTGTATTTAACTTAGATGTAATTGGCTTAGTATTGTAGCAGGCCTGGTGCTGGGTCAGCCAAGTCACCCCCCACAAAGAGCATCTGGACCCCACCTTGCTCATCTCCTCTGTCCTTTCAGGGTCATGCCCTGTTGTCTCATCTGCCATACCTTGATGTTATGATTTGGACAGGAAGGCTGCCCCTAGAGAGTGGAGGTGGTTTTGCTTTTGGTCTTGGCCCACTTTACTTTGGCTGGTTTTGTCCTTCGTGAGCTCTGGGCCCCTTGGCCCCTGGTCTCACTGTTTGTGGGCTCTGGATTTTCTCCCCCACTCCTTGCTGTCTAACATCACAGTCGTTCTGATAGCAGTAGCACTCCCCCCAAACCAACCCACAAGGATCTAGGGCCAGGGGTGCCCTTAGCACCCTTCTTGGTGGCCTCCTTTGCCCCTATATCCACAACATGCTCCTTTGGTATTTAAACATAAAGGCAAAAATATGAGCCTCTGCTCTCAAACAACGGGTCCTGTAACCCTGGGTCAAAATCAGACGGTGGCAACAAGCTACAGCACCAGGCCCAAAATACGTATCTTCTGCCTGGCGGTGGTACAGGGTTCCAGCTTCCCTGAACTTTGGAGTCCTTCCTTTCTGGCCAGTTCAGGCCCCTCTGTTTCCCCAGAGATCTGCTTCTTTTAGCCTGCAGAGCCAGACTCTCTGCCCTTGCCACAGGCCTTGGGTTTGTGTGTCTTTCTTTGGGTCATGTGACCTAGTACTTCTGCCCCAGTCCTGACCCACTACTTCTGTTAATCCCTCTTCTGCAACCCCACATAGCAGGCTTGGCCTGCTGCACTCTCTACTTAGTGACTGGGGCTTCTGGCTCCTTGTCACAAGTATATAGAACATACTAAAATATTATGTTGAAGAGTTGCTAATACTTAGATTATCCAGTCTTGATTTCAAAGAGCAATTTAGATTTCTAGTCTGGGAACCAGCTAGGTCATTAGACACTGTAAAGTAAACTGTATTATTTTATTTCCTCACTTCTTTCCAGTATGTTATCTCCTTTTGCTCTCCCTTCTCTGTCAATTTGTCTTTGTCAGTGGAATTGAAATTAGTATCAGAACTTCAGAAAATAATTGCTGAGGTCCTTATTTTGGCCTCATTGCTGATGTCATTCTCCTTGGGAAAATGGAAGTTCCTTGGGGAAAATAATACCTCTTACGGAGCACATCTACATGAGATGCTGATTGCACAGTAGCCTGATACTACTGTACAGTAGCATTACATGGCAAAAATCCATGCTATGACATTCCTGTGTAGTAGTATTAGGCTCCTGTGTAGTAGCACCACTTAAAAGGCATTTGCTGGTGCTATCATGCAGTAAATCTGGTTACTGCTTATTTATTTAGTACTTATATAAGCAAGTACTAAATAAACGTGCAGTAACCACTGTGCAGTAGCATCTTGTGTAGATAGCTTCACCGTGTATTTGTGTATATAGTGTGAAATGTGTTATGATTGTTTTTGCAGCCCCTAGACTAGTGCAATATAATAAAAAGTACCAATAATATAAGGAAAATACAATGAGATAGACAGGTGTTCATTTAGTTATTCTAATTGTAGTAGACATGAAATGTCTGATTCTACACTGGTCGTGCTTTAAATTCACTTAACGGTCACTTTACACAGGTATGAATGACTATACCTTGTAGGGAAGAATCTAGTGAAAATACTATTTTTATGGGGAAACTGTTGAATGGATTGTTTAAAAAAATTCTTTTAAAGGTTTTCCATAATGAGCAGGTAAAGAAAAAAATGTAAAAGTCTTCTTTCAAATTCCATTCAACATTGCTTGCCCATAGAAAGAAGTATTTTAGATACAAATGACAAAAAATATTTTTATACTTTTTATTTATTTTTTAGGCCAAAAAATGGAGGGAAATATTGTGTGGGGCGCAGGATGAAATTTCAATCATGTAATACTGATTCTTGTCCAAGAGGAAAAAATGGTTTTCGAGAGCAGCAATGTTCTGACTTTGATGGAAAACATTTCAACATCAATGGTCTTACATCAGCTGTGCGCTGGCTTCCAAAGTACAGTGGCAGTAAGAAATTAAAAGTTTTCTTTGCTAACTAAATAAAATGTTTATTTACGTAAGCCTTTATTATAGAAAACATACTTACTGTTGAATTTTCTTTGCAGTTTCTATGAAAGATCGCTGTAAACTCTATTGCCGAGTTTCTGGAACGACTTCTTACTATCAGCTGAAGGATAGAGTTATTGATGGTACTCCCTGTGGGATTGAAACCAATGATATATGTGTTCAAGGTTTATGCAGGGTATTTAAACTTAACTTGGATACTATATTAAAATATATATAACATGCAGTCAAAGAAAGCTTTGAAAATCACTAAAATAAAGTAGTTTTATTTAAATACGCTCAATTAAAGTGACTAGAGGTAGAGCTAATAAAGCAATAAGCATTTTAGAAGGAAGGGCAAGCTAACATAATCCCAAACTTTGGGACAGACTTTAATTTCCATCCCCATGCAGTTCTACTCATTGTTAATGGAGTTACATAAAGTAAAGATAAATTATGGCCTTTTGTACCATCAGAGGTGAAACTGGCAGAAAGCACAATTGTGTATACTGTTTGAGTTCTAGCCCATGAATATTGCATGCAAAATATAAAAAATGAGAGACAGAGACCAGAACCTAGGTTTCCTTCTCTCCATGGAAACTACTATTCTTTGTGGGCTTACAGAATCAGGTTCCAGCTTACATTCCTTTCCACTCATTGACCCAGCTTCAGTAGGAGGGATGGAGGGTATCCTAGCCACTAGGTTGGTGGTTTAGGCACTTATTGGGAAATAGGAGATAGGGGTTCAAGTCCTCTCAGAGTGAGAAGGGTTTACAATCTAGGTCTTTCACTTCTGAAGAAAATACCTTAACTACTAGGCTGTGGGGCAAACAGTGGACATGTCCACTTAGGCTGAGTGTCAAACCTAGTTGAATCAGGGACTTTTGTGAAATTTGAGCTTCTTAGAATGGAACTGGACTGGAACAGAATTTAGGTAGAGGTAGGCTTCTATGAAATCTAGGTATCTTGGTGGTTTTGTGGTTGTTGCTTGTGGTGGAATAGGATAGCATAGAATGACTTAGATACCTGAAAGCAATGGGCAACGTTTAGACATCTCAGAGGTAGAATAGGATCTGGATCATGGAGCTTTAAAGAAATGATGTTTGAGTGTATAAAATACTGTATTGAAAAAAAGACTGATTTCAAGTTTCTAGAGGATTTTAAGTAAATTTGGCTTTAAAAATTATATTAAACGTTGATTATTTAGATAGGAAAACATTATCAAATATTAAATATAGGAAACCCTCACTATTCGCGGGTTCGGCATTTGCGATTTCAAATATTTGTGAATGCCGAACCCACTTCTTAAATACACTTAAAGGAGATCCTCGGGAGCTCCATGCTTACCACTGCTGCTGGTCTGCTGTAGCTGCTGCTGGGCTGCCACTGGGCTGCTGCCGCTGTGCTCCCGCCGTCACCAGAGCAGCCATGCCCCCTCCTCCCCCCCCCCAGCTGCCAGGGGCATTGAGCTCATGAATGCAATGCCTTGTTTGTGAATTTTGCCATTTACGGGGGATACAAGAACATATCCCTCACGAATGGTGAGGGTCACCTGTATAAACTTCCAAATTTCTTGATACATTAACTAAGGCCATGTACAAGCATTACATTTCTACCAGGAGAATCAATACTCTCCTAGTAGGAACTATAAGCTTATAAGTGTACATGCAGATTATCCCAAGAGCAACAAGCCCCCTCCAGATCTTCCAGGTGCAATAAACTTTCTTGCAAGAATGAATGCTTGTACATTCCTCTCCCAGTCTGGTTTGGGAAGGAAGGGGAACAGTGGGACTCCCTGCTTCTTCCCCAGACTGAGAACTGCCCAGTTTTGGAAATGGAACAGGGGCTTTACCAAGCCTCTGCCTCTTTCTAAAACCAGGGACTTCCTCAGCTGGGTGGTGGGGTAGGGTTTTCAAAGCCAGTGATTGGGAACCAAGTTGGGAGGTTCTTCCCAAGCTCAGTTCCCTGCCTCTCCATCTTTGAAATCACCGTCCCCACTGCCCAACTGAGTGGTAGGGGCAGGGATTTTGAAATTAGGGACTGGAAAAAGGGCTTGGAGACTCTACACAAGCCCAGGTCCTGGCCCTGCTGGCTTCCCTGTACCCCCTCCCCTCCTCCAGCTGCTCAGCTGGGTGGCAGGGCAGTGATTTCAAAGATGCTAGGGCTGG